ATGACAAGGAGCTACTTGCGATGAAGTATGCACTTGTCAAGTTCTGGGTCCACCTGCTTGGCTCCAAGCCGTTTGTGATCTACACAGATCACGCGTCGTTACGCACTGCGACTCAGCCGCCCCACCTTTCGCAGAAGATGGCTAGATGGCTACCCTTCTTTGCGAAATGTAACTTCGAGGTGAAGTATATGCCAGGAACGCAGAATGCTTTGGCTGACGCGTTGTCACGCAGACCAAACTATAAGCTTGCTCATGTTACAACTGTAACGTCGACTGTGACGGATAAGATCCGCATCGCGTATGCACAATGACCACTTCTTCCAAAACGCCTACCTTCAAGGCACTGCCGAACGTTTCAAGAAAAATTTAGTCCAACCCAAGAAGAGCATCAACTGCAGGAATAGCCTCGACGCAGACGTCTCCATCTTCCTCCCCCGTCATACCGTTGACGGGGGTGTATAACTGTGTACCGTCGTCTACGGTAGACACACCTTGGATCAGGGTCGACGCCCGGCGTCTTGCAGCCAGCACACGGCGTCACCGTCGTCTTTGTACATAGGTCTATGTCTCGGTGAGACCAGGGAGAACACGCACTCCGCGTCGTCCAGTGTCATCCTCACTTTTCGCTACTTTGGAGCTCCAATTTTATCTACAACATCCGACGAAGAGCTGCTTACCTCGCAGTCCTTGTCCATATTTCTTATTATTGTGGGCCGGGGTACGCCAAGGCGACCCACTATCTCCGGGGCTGTTTGTAAAGTTCATTGAACCACTCATGAATTACTGACGTGCTCGAGATTTGATGCAATGATTGGAAACTGACAGTAGGTTATCCCCACATTTTCTACTAGCCTTTGCAGTGGACTGCACCGATCTACTAGCTGATGTTGATTACGCATATAAATTCCTGGATGTAGTACAAGATCGCGCGTTAGCATCATGACGACGCCTAAACATGAATGAATCACGCATCATGCCTTTCACACATCAAGTCAACTTGTCCAATTGGCCAGACTACGTGCTTCAACGGATTTTAAAGTGTTACAACCGTCGGACCCTGTGGTATTATTAAGTGTACTTTAGGGCGCGACTGTGACACCCAAACAACTATTTTGTGATGTACGACGACGATGCGCCATCTGGAAATACCGTGCACGTACAGGGCAAAGTTGTGCTATTTCAAAGAATCATTAATCCTCTAGTTTGCTAAACAGCCAGCGTGACGTCTATCACACCTTATCTTCTCTAAACTGAGGACGTCATCATCCATAATTTTGTTCACTCAAAGATTACTGATAATTACTTTGCAATTTCACATGTGTTTCGAAGGGTGGATTAGACTCAACACCTGTTAAAGCCTTTATCCACGCTATGCACCTCAAGACATTAAGAGATAAAATTGCCTCGACCTGTGAATTGAATACTGTACCCAGGTGGTTTACTCCGGCACTTCAATTCTTTACAGGAACATTAGACTCTCTTGATACAGGCTTCAATATACGCAGATATGAAGGGGGGAACGGAATGGATTGCCTGACTATTGGAAATCTACTCTACGTGTATAAGCGGAACTGCACACTACTCACGGCTCCACGGACTGGAAACGATTTGTGCAAGTCATACCGTTACTGTACAATGTCTACTTTACGTTTGGCAAGGCAAAAACCCATTGGCCAAAGTCAATATAAGCACTATTTGCTTCCTGAAGGCACTAGCGTTCGTCCTCCTACAAGACTTTGTGGAACGCTATGGATGCTTCGCGACACAAGATATACTAAACAGTCTCCTTCAAGTTGATCAATTCGCCAGACCTGCGTCGAAAACACTATCAGTGTCCGACAAAATTTTGCGACTTAAGTTAATCTGCCCCCCATGGACCTATATATGGGCCAACTCGTCCCGTTCGCATTGAATGTGCTACTCAAGGCTGACGTTTTGAAGACAAAACGGTCATAAACATGTCCAACCGGGACTTTAAAAATTATTTTTATAGGCTAAGTTTGGTATACCGCTTCCAAAGCTCCAAGTTGACAAGCTTCAGATTGCGGGCTTAACTCCAACGGACGATACATGGCGTTTTGAATACCGATCGGATCCTCATGTACTCCCAGTATGCTCTGATCTGAAGTTCCGTCTTCAACACAATGGATGTGAATTAAGATACAAGTTTTGACGGAGAGCGGAAGTCATACCAAGCAATACGTGTGTACATGGATACACAAATGTTGGAGATGCCCAGTATCTTTTTTGGGCTTGCAGGGTGGCAATAAAACAATGTGAAGTCTGACTTCAACCTTTTAACAAGTTCATTATTAGAGCTTTAAACTGGTCTATGATTGTCTTCGTCCGCTTTGCTTGACTTCAACACACCAATATGGAACTTACGAATTTGATGCACTCTTTACTATTGTGCGATGTTGTGTACTTTGCGTGCTCTGACTTCATCGCGACAACCGAATTTACAACATTAAAGTTTCGACTCCCCAAGACTTTGTACGTCATTATGCCTTTGCATACATCAAGCTGCACTTTCAGCAATTTGAATCACGTGCAACGTTTAAATGGCAAAGTCACATGGAAACAACTGGCACATGATGTGGGAAATAGTCTTCACGCGCAACATAATGCATTTGTGACGCTAGCTACAACCACCATAGCCGTTCAGCCTCGGTTATGGCAACAACGATTAATTTCACGACAGCACATGCAACCACATCTACTATTACAACATCTATAATACAAGCTATACCGTCAACAGGGTTGTTAAAGTCAGCTTTACAGATACGGGAATTGTACCCGTCTCACTAATTTCCGAGGTGGATATCCTGTTCACCTGCTCAAAGGTCACACTAGACCTGACGGGGATATAGCAGAACAAAGACGAGCAATCTCGGATCCAAATCAATAAGGAAATTTATGGGACGCTACCCCCCCCCGTATTCACCGACCGCGCTACTGGCCGGCTTCCGACAGAGGTTCTCCGCATTGTACAACAATTCAATTTTGTGCTGACTCTCTCCTCAGCTAGCTGCAGCTTCGAGCAACCCGCCCTAGTACGCCGCACCGTTTAAAGGCTTCATGTTGGACAATGCAATACATGCAACACATGTCTGCAGTCAAGGAGTCGTGTACAACTTCATCCTACGCGTCAAACACAAAGCAACTAAGGGTGAGATCCCAAGTCACAAATAAGCGTGAAATTTGCGAGCTATTTCGACGGTAAAGTTTAAACTTCCTGCTTCAGACGTTCTCAGGCGTCCTTCACCGAAGCTTTTCGCTTAACCCTCTCCACGTCTCGACGCGAAAAAGACGGCCGCGAAAAAACCTTCAAAATCAAGTACTGCTATCTACATAGTCAATTTAGACTACCACACCCCGGTGTACTTAGTCTCTACTTGGCGAACCCTAAGCAAGAGGATTAAGATTTTAACACGTGGTCTCTATACCATCCAGACAAGTGCGAACGGCTTAAAATCCACGCTTTATTTCAAGATATCAAGTCTGAAGCGTATTCACGGCAATCCAAAGTAAGGTCCCGCAATTTAAGTTGATTTAAGACGATTTTAACAAGCCACTCAACGCACCAACTACGCTTGTTGGTCGCATTTTTACTTTTACACATAGCGCAAACTCAAGGCACAACCCAAGGGTCACCCTTTTAATATCACACTTTGCACAGGTTTGATTTACTACCATTCTGCACTTTTGACATAAACAATCTCAATGTCAACAATTCGATCGCAAATTGGTATCGGTCAACTCATTATCAAGCTTAAGTACTGCTACTGTGGCAAGTTGGCTTTTGCGTCCAATGTACTTACGTTTTTCAACTAGACATTACCAAGACTAACATCAGGTTAAACACTATAATTTCAAGCTACCCGCACAAAGCAAACTGCTCCGAATTCACGAATAAACGCGAGAAATCAACTTAAAGCGCATCGACCAACACCCCAGTGCTTGGTATCACCACTCGACGAGCGCACTACGTTCACACTCAGTCAAAACCAGGCGTTACTTGCGACATACAATCGATGTGGTAATTAACTTCAAGACCTCAACCGCAACTTCGGCAAAACCAACACTCCGCCGTTACACAAGTGCGACAAGAAGGCATTGATTCTTCCAGAGTTGAAGATAGTTCTGTTAAAACCTCACACTGGCTCAGATCAATAAATTTACAGCCAGTCAAGCGTCGGAGCACATCACTTCATGCTTCCACTATCGGGTTCAACCAGCTTACACACTACGGCAAATTATCTGGGAAGTGCCAGTACTACGAGAGCCGTAGCCTATATGTTTACACTATTTCTTACATTAGCAAAGTAAATTAGTTTTGGAATAATCAGAAAGTCAATCAAATCTAATTTTCTCAGCACCTTAAAGATTATCGATCAAAACTTCCCAGTAACGCGTGGATCTCTGCCAGAAACAGTTCACGTTCCACAAAGAGTGAAGCTGTACCCACACAGTCGACACTGCCGCAAAATGCACCATCTTGCTCGAAACGTCTACAAAGACCACCACAGCCGTGTTGCCCACCAATTTCTTTGACATACCAAACTCAAAGGTTATACTCATGGACTGGTAACACCCAAAGGGTACAGGTAAACTGACCAGCGGCGCCGCCGCATTCGGAGAGTTTTTCCTCCTTTGACAAGTCTCACACGTGCGCACATATGTGTTCGTCCACTTGTACAGCTTGGGCCACCAGTAGTGGCAAATCAATGCGTTGTACGTCTTCTCACAACCGAGATTACCACAGAGGGGTGTGTGGTGGGCCCCATAGAGGATAGTTTATTTCAAATATTCATCGTCATGAGCCACATTTCGTGGCGTTTCCGTTGGATCGGTGCTATACCGTTATTCAAATAATATCGGTGCAACCGTGCGCGCAGTCGCGACGACAATTTCTTGTCCAAATTTCTTGCTTTCGAGAGCCTATAGCAGCGCTACACGAACAGCGCGTGGCGCTAGCCATCTCCAAGCTCGGTGGTCGAGCGCAAGAATGGGCACTGACGTGCGGCACTTCAGTCGAAACTGCGTTTCCCTCCTGGGGTGGAGCTGAATTGCAGCTCTCACGGAGTTTTCGCCGCCTAATCAGGCATATCGCGTGCGATCGGGTTTCTTGCCGCCCGACAGGGTCACAAGGAATTAGTGGACTTTGTCCAGGAGATGCGCACTCTCATTGCCGGGATGTCAGCAGATCTCCTCCCTGAGGCGGTCACAGTGACCGTCTTTAGGGAAGACCTCCGCGCTAGCGTGACCAGAGTGAAAGTTTTCCGTGTACATCGGTCTCCACTTGAAGAAGCGGTGAATGTGGCATTGAATGCCAATTTC